CAGGCGGGGGTGGGTGCTGGTAGGCAGGCGAGGGGAGGGGTGTGTATAGGGAAGCAGACGCGTGCACCCCCCCTCCCTATTCCCCCCTTTCCCTAAATACTTTCCTTTTATAAACGTGCTGATCCTTTTTCTTCTTCTTCTGCTTTTTCTTCTCCTCTGCATATAGGGAAAAGTTTGAAGACTCTTATGTCCAAAGGAATCTTACAGGTACATCCTCCAATCTGTGATTGCCCTGGGTGTCGAATTTCGTCTCCAGTGGTAAGATTATTGTTAAACTATGTGCTTTAGCTAAGACATCTTCCCTCTCCTCTGCCTCCTTCCCTTTAAAAAAAAAAAAAAATCTCTTTGCTTCTGTGATCATGAAACCGTGATCTCTGAGGGTCATCGAGTCTGCCAGAGCCCTGCTTACACTGTGAGGGTTCCTGCAGTCTAGGGAGAGGCGAGCAGGAGAGGAGTTTGGAAGCAGAGCAGATGGGAAGAGCAGTGTTTGACCTAAAGGAAGCAGCACACGGCGTGATTTTTTTGGTTTTCAGGGGGAGCTGTCTGTGCGCAAAGGCAAATCGTTCAGGAGCCTCTTCCTTATTCCCACCCCTTCATTTTTGTGTATTGTGCAGAGGTGTAAAAATGGCTAAATAAAGCGAAAGGGAATTGTAATTGCACCCACGTGTCAGAGTCAGAACAGCCACAGTTTACAAACCATCAGTGAATTTGGTTAGATGAACTTAATGAGGAAAACAAGCTCATCTTAAATGCTTACAACTTGAACAACATTCATGCCACGGGTCACAGTTATGGCTTTTAGAGATCTTTTCTTCCCAGCTTTTTGAGTTCCTTGTGTATTCTGCTGTCTTGCCTTTATCCTGAGACTTTGAAAATCTCTCATCAACATTTTCATGGAAAAGATGTTGATGCTATATATAAAAAGCTACTGAAATCATAGTAAAGTAAGGCTTTAAAAGAGTTCATCATGTATAAAAATAACCATAAAGTACAATAATATCTAAACAGGAGGGCGAAGCTGTTGGTTTGGTGAAGCAGGTAAAGTTTGGTAAAGCAGGTCTTGGTCTGAAAGAACAACACTGCCAGTAGCACTGTGGAAACAGATACAGCTGGAAATTTTCGTACTTTTACTCACTGAAATCAACCTTTTTTAAAATTTTTTTATTGCTTCTTTGGCATCAGATCTCTGTCGTGGTTTGGCACGACAGATAGAATTGTGAGTTTGTATCGTTCCTGGGTAATATCTCTGTGTATGCATGGTTATATCCACATTCCCATGGGAAGGGGCTCAGAACAATGATCAGTCACATAAATTAAATGTGAGGGTGTCTTGCCTGTGCGTTGTGCAGCAGCAGGTCCGGGCCACTGCCCATCGGGCTCACGGGGACAGTTCTGCTGCACCATTGTCGTGGTGTTTTAAATCAGGTGGACTGAAACCTGGCTCTTGCAAGTTCCTCTGGGTTGATGGGGCAAGGTGTGTGCTGGGGTGTGACCAGCTTCCTCCAGCTTGGAGCTTGGCATGTGCTTTGGTTACCAATCCTGTGGATCAGAGCCAACAACTGGCAGACCAAAGGGATGTGCCACAGTTGTGATGGTGTTGAGAAGTGTCTGGCCAGGTGACACTGTCTGCTGGTCACTTTTTGACTAATAAGTTGCATTAGTTGGTAGCCCAAAGGCCATACTATGCTTTCCTAGCAGCAGCATTTTTAATAGCTGTGCAGGGATCTGTGCATTTCCCGATGGGAAGGCAGCTCTGCATGGAACAAGTGTCTGGTAGACTTTTAGAACTGAATTTGAGAAGTTCAGATAGAGGAAAAAAGAGGTTGGTGTAGTTTTGGGAAAGGAGAAATAAATCTTTCTGGACTTGCCTCCCGCTGCTTCCCCAGCTGGAAGGGGGTTTTGATGTCAGAATTTGCACAGCAAGGCCAAACCCCAGTGAGGACTTTCATCAGAACTCTTTTTTGTCAGTGCTCGCTGCCCTTTCTGTGCTGTAATTAGAACACGTTATCTGACCAAAGGACAGTTCCACATATTGAACCTGAAATATTTCGCTAGTGCCTCGTCGTAGCTACGTGCACCACACATTCCTAACAGTCACACAAGGAGGAGGATTAAAAATCGGGCACAGTTTCCCTTTCCCCATTTAGTGATCACCCAGTCAAGCACCACTGAGATCTAAGGGCTGATTCTCCTCCAGTGCAGAAATCCTTTATATTTTATAGTGTCGGTCAGTTGAAATTTGCAATGCCTGGTCCTTGTGCTGCTGTGTTATCCCATGGGGGTGTGGAGGTGGGGAGCCGATCCTGCCTGCAGCCGGTTGGACAGCGGGAATAGGCCAGGAAAACTCAAGCCCTGCCTATGGAAGGGGGGCAAGCCCAGCTGCTTGCAGGCGTCTGCCCCTCTCCCTGTTTGCTCACCGCAGGCAGCAAAGGGAGCGCTCCAAGGGCCGAGCCCGGATCTTCCTTTAGGAAAGGTGACATCCAGTGTATCCCAACCAGGCGGGAATAGCAGGGGCTCTTAATCCCCGCATCGATGGCTCAGAGGCCCTGCCTGGCTCTCCGTCTAAGGCTGAGAGGAGAGAGGAGCGGTCTGTCCGTGAAGGGAAACCGCGCCGTGCCCCAACCCCGCGCTGGCAGGAGCCGGAGCCGAGCCGGGCACGGCCTCCCCCGAGGGCTGAGCTCCCCCGAGGCACGGCTCCCCCGAGGGCTGAGCTCCCCCGAGGCTGGGCTCCCCCCGAGGCTTAGCTCCCCCCGCGGGCTGGGCTTCCCCGAGGCCGAAGCTCCCCCGAAAGGATCCCCCCGAGGGCACGGCTCCAGCCCCCGAGGGCGGCTCCCCCGAGGGCTGAGCTCCTCCCCCGCTCTCCGGGGTCCCCCGCAAGGGCAGCCGAGCGCCGGTGCCCCCTCATCCCTGCCCGGGGCTGGCGCCGCGTCCCCCCCCCGTGCCCGCGCCCCGGCCGCGGTGCCGGCGGTGCCGGGGGAGCGGCGCCCGCCCCCGCGCCCCGTCGCAGCTCGTTTGCTGCCGCAGCTGCAGACAGGGGCCGGCGCCGGGCCCCGCTCCGCCACCGACCGCGCGGTTTCCCTGCGAGGCTCAGGGGAGAGAGGAGGGGGGCAGAGAGAGCGGCCGCGTCGCCGCCGGCCGCCCTGGCGCCCTCCTCCCCCCGGCCGCCGCCCCCGCGCCAGCATCCATCAATCAGCGGGGGGAAGGCGAGGGGGAGCAGGGCGGAGGGATGCAGGAGGGCCCCGCAGGGTCGCGCCGAGCCGTGGGGGATGCGGGGAGAGCACCCGCGGGAGTGCGGGAGGATGGGGAGGGCATCCCCTGCGCGCTGGGAGGGTGGAAGGGCAGAGGCGTCCTTGCGGTCACGCAGCGATGGGGGAAGCGGTGTCTGCTCCTGGGGCTTTGTGCCCTATCCTTTGGGTCACACAGCGATGGGGGAAGCGGTGTCTGCCCCTGGGGCTTTGTGCCCTATCCTTTGGGTCACACAGCGATGGGGGAAGCGGTGTCTGCCCCTGGGGCTTTGTGCCCTATCCTTTGGGTCACACAGCGGTGTCTGCCCCCCGGGCTTTGTGCCCCAGCCTCTGCACAGAGGCTTTTCAGGTCAGAAAGGGAAGAATGGCACAGGTCTGGGTCCCTTCAGTGTTGCAGAGGCAAAGGATGCCAAGCGTTCACGCAGTAAGTTGTCAGATGGGGGAGGCGGTGTCTGCCCCTCTGCTTTGTGCCCCGGCCTTTGCACAGAAGGTTTTCAGATCTGGAGGGCAGGAATGGCACAGGTCTGGGTCCCTTCAGTTTTGCAGAAGCACAGGATACCAAACATTCACGAAGTTGAGTTGTCAGATGTGAACTAGGGGTCTTCCCCCCAAATTTGTGCTTGTCAGTTCTGGGCAGTTTGTCTTGTTTGGAGCCCTGGATGGATTCCAGTCTATTCTGGTGAAGCCCATTCCCCCCAGGGTTCCCTCTGCCCCATCGAATTTTGAATACCACTCGTGCATTCTCTCCATCTCTGCTTTCAACCCACAGCCAGGGCTGGTCTTTAAAGTGACAGTGGGCTTTTATAGCCGGAGGGAGGGGGGAACAGCTCTAAAATGTTTATTGCTAAATGAAAATAACTTAGATTTGTGAAGTCCAGCATTGGATATCTAGGATAGCAGCAGAAAGGCATTTGATTGTTTCCCCCATCAGACTGTGTGCGACCCTTTACTGTGTTTGCATTCTAGTAGTGCTGCCTCTAAAAGTGAGTTAGGACTGACTGGACATTGTCTGCTCCTTATCCTCTTTTCCCATCTGTTCTTGGACAGGGTGTCAGTTTGAAAGGTGGCCCATGTTGAAGTTCAAGGTTCAGGTCACAGGTGAATGAGGGAAGGCCGGGTTCCCCATAACTATTGTGACATGGCCCTATTCAAACAAAACAAAAACTACTACAGAGGGATGTTTAGTTTTTGTCCCATCTCCTTCGTCGCATGCTGAGACACATGGTGGTTGTGCATAACTCAGTCACTGACAATGGTAATTCATTTGCTTACTGGGGCTGTGTTTTGCTCTTGGTTTGGTTTATATGTGATTTATTTGCTGCTTTTTTGCTCTTCGTCATCGTCGTTGTTGTTTTCGTTTGATGCCCCGAGGTTAAGGCGTTAGTCCAAGACTTTGTCAGGGATGGAAAAAGTAACTGTCTGCTTACTTCTAATAAAACTGAATGCCAGTAAACAACTAAATCTCTTGTTATTTAGCTCCAAGGTTTCTGAGCATTCTCCTGTTCCCTGTTTTGAGGTGCAGGGGTGGAAGGCAGCTCTGTGTCACCCCCAGCCAGTGGCTTTGTGTCACTCGTGCTGTTTGGCTCTGGCTGCAGCTCCACTCACTGCCCTTCCCCAGGGATGCTGTCCTGGCTGTTCCACAGGTTTCCTGGAGAGCCAGGAGCTGCACAGGGGCAGAGAAGGGAGATCCTTGGGCTACTGAGTTGACCCTGTGTGGTGGGACCCAAATTCAGAGACTGGCCCAAAAGGGGAGTCTCTCACGCTGGACATGAGTCTCTCATGAGAACTTTCCTATGAGAAGAGGACTTTGCCTGCTGGAGAACTGAGTTGGCTGCCTGTAGAGTCAGGATTAATTCTGAAATTTCACTGTTAATGGAACAGATTAGATTTAGGTTCATTTTTGAGCTGCTGTGGGTTTAAGGATTGGAGCTGGAGAATGTTGGGGTTTATGTGAAGGGGACTGTTTTCATAACTTTGCCTTTGTGTCCCGGGGGGCTGCCTTATGAATGTGGA